TAAGCATCCCTCTTGAATTTTGGCACGATTTGGTTGGCTACGTTGATGTTAGCACAAGTCTTTACTCCTCTTCTTCGGTCCTTTGCGGAGTCTTCCCAATTATTCGGATTGGTTTTTAGCCGCTTCCAGTAGTATTTCAAGGTGTTCGTGCATCGGCGGTTTTGACTCCCTTGTCGATGAGCACTCATTACGGAATCTCTTTATGACAGTTGTTTTGGTGGACGGACGTAGTTCATTCTTATCAAGCGGTAGCTCCAACGCATTTGTTGTTGTCTCAACATGGCGTGGGTGTTGACCATTTCAGTTCGTCCCAGGTACTCCATGCCCGAGATACTGTCCTGCCATCCCAATGTCAGCATTCTGCAGAGGCAGCTTGATTGGATTAGACAGTCCAGGTTTTCACTCTGCACTGAAGTGTTGTTAAGATGACGGCCTTGTACATCTTCAGTTTGGTGTTCATTTGAGAGCCGTGGCGATTCCACACGGAGGCTTGCGGGCAGCCGAAAGCCTGGCTGGCCTTAGAAATCCAATGGCCATTCCCGGCGTCAACTTTTGCTCTACCAGAGAGAGTATTTTTCCTAGATAGGCGAAGTTGTTCATTGTTTGAATATGGCTAGGTTACTACCGATCAAAGGAAAACTGCATTCCGGGTTGGATAACGGTTGGTGCATAACCACTGGGTTATCCTTGTTGATTATTAGTCTGAAATTTGCGCACCTGGCGGCGAAGTGACCCGTGCCGATTTGGATGGTCCCTTCGCTCCTGGTGTTGAGAGCCCAGCCAAAAGCGAAGATGACATCGGTCCTGGGGATACTGTAGCAGCCTGCTCTCCATGGCGTCAACTCCACCGCTTACCTCCGGTCCGCCTGCGCGTGGGACTCAACCTCCGACTTGCGATGCCTTGACGCAGATCAACATTTCTCCATTCACCGACTGGGCGAGGACGGATAGCGTTCGGGTGCATGCAGTTACAGTAGGCGACCTATCTCATGAGAGGTGCCGAAATTTACGAATGGTTGTTAATCACTCGCAAACCGACAGAAACGAGTGCACCAGAGCTTCGAACTATTAATGAGCGACTTTAAGCTAATGGAAAGCAAACATGTTATATCAAAATTAATATTTCTTCGTTTAGAAATATTAATGTTTGAGAAGCGAAAAACTCCAAAAACATCTACAACCTTTTCAACTGAACAACCTTACGTTTTCGATGTGCAGAACGTCTGTCCATTCAAAAACCACGTAAATAAAACAATGCATATAGTAGTCATTATATATTCCTTACGAAGAAGTGTAATGGCATGTATGGCGGTTAGTTAACAGCCTACAGTTTGAGTATACATTTCGACACGGTTTGACGAGAACTGGCTGTGTGTTGTTTGAGATAAGGTTGACTATGGTTGAGGTTGACTATAGGTTCCGCTCGATTTCGCCAATATCAATGTCACAGGAATAAAGCTATCCATAAGTCCACATGTTGATTAGCCGGTCATTGACCATTCATTTCAGTAGAATAGTGAGATGCGATCCTTCGCATGTTATTTTGCGTGAATTGTATGTGATTTCCTTCCGTGAAGTCGCTTTTACAGTTGTTTCTGATGCAGGAGCAAGACGAGTTTCAGATTGTTCTGAAAATAGCGGTGAAGACCTCGTGCTTTTCAGTGTTATCACCAAATTCATCATAAATGTGTGCATATGTGTACATGAAAAACTGCGAAATACGGGCCATTTTAAAAATCGTCTTTATTGGGTGTTTCGGTGATGGATCTTTGCATATTTAATTTTTTCCCATGCGACGTTAAGGGAAGAATTGACATGTTTGATCGATTTGTTTACCCTCCTGTAATTTAGGATAACTTTTGCTGTGAAAGTAATAGCTCATATTCTTCTTATATATCGGAGCCTTTCTCGCTATATTTGTTTACTTTCAGGCTACTTTCGAAGACTAAAAATGCCCAACAGAGTAGGCGCAAAATAGTTGATCTTCTGTCCGTCCTGAATCTAAATTACGCATTAGTGTAACCAAAACCGCATACAATTATTATATTATATGCTTGAAAGTCAACATAGGCACATGGTTGAGGACGTTTTCGAGGTAAATTATTGGGTCCGGCGGGCCTCGTAGCTCAAGTGGTTAGAGCGTTGGATGTACTAAAGCCTACCCCTTACTGTGTGGGTTCGAATCCCACCGAGGCGCTGAGTTTTCTACTGTTGGGTCAATATGAATTATTGGGTATTCGTAAAGGATGGGAACTATCAAAATGCATAAATAAAGGATTGCCAGTTGGCATTATAACTGCGTTCTATGTCACGAACTCACACAGATTTGTCAATTTGACCTTTAAAAATTGAAAAAACTTCCAGTTTTTCAAACAATAACTTGGTTGTTCACTTCTTGCTTCATCTGCTTCACGTGGTGAGAAAATCAGTTTTCAAGTGCGGCAAATGCGGTCGCGTTTACATTAACCTCTTTTCATACGAAAATAGGAGCGGACCCGCAACCATACTGCAGGGTGGAAAATACCATAGGAAACGGCCGGAATGCAAGGTAACCTAGATTCCCGCCCAAACTTGTAAACGGTATGACGGTCAAAATTTTCTTTAAACATATAGTACATACAGAAAGGACATTCCCGGAATAGGCTAGACGAATAGTCAAAATGCGCAGGGTTTTCGTCTCAATTTTCATCATTACGTCTCATGAGTACGTTACTACTGTAGGCGGACTGAAAGTGACTGCTGAGCTGCGAATCGCATTAGTTAATGATTTCTATGAAATTACGCGACCTTTTAAGCGACATGAAAATTCATGTTTTTTTGCACGCACTTCGATGTGCCCCAGATCACTGCAAAGTCAATCGCTTCTGGGTTACTTTCGTGATGTGTGGATAGTCACGCTTTTTTCATGTTATTACTTGCATATATTGATCTCAACTCCACCCACACAACGCAAATTTTTTGGCAGTTTTAAAATCTATATCAGTTCCGTTCTCGTCTCTGACAACAAGTTCTGGCTACGTGGAAGTCAGGTCGCGGTATACCTGTTAAAATCGCACAGCGCAGATCCTTTTTTCACTCAAGGTAATATTCCCCCTGTCTATGTTTCCTGCATAACAACGCCTTTCCACGTCAGCTAGTTTTATAAAAAATGTTTTGGCCCAAATTAGGCCATCCAGTCAAGCTTAACGCATGACGTCTGCTTTTTTATATAGCAACCAAATTGTGTTTTCGCTTTCTTTCATTGGTCTGCCACGTAATCTTATGAATACCCGCACTTCAAGATATTTAAAGAGAAAAACGACTTTCACTCGTAGCTCCTTAGCCCACAATTTGAGACCTTGCAAAACACCGTTAGATGTGGCTTGCAGTATACATCTTCGTAGCGTGTTTCACTTCGATTACCATACTAGGTATCCATTATATAACTGGAAGATAAATATATGTTTCTATTATCTCTCTTCTTGCCTTCAGCAGGAGGGCCAACGTTAGTGTATCCGCTAATAGTGTTTCTTAGAAAGGTCATTTTTGAAAATTTTCACTGATCGAACATTGTGTATTCTTAACTGTGAAAAAATGACTTGTGTATACTTGATGATCATTTATAAATATAATCTTACGTCAGCTGAGGACGAACGTCTAATCAACGGGCTGCCTGAGAATTGCGGGAATCGTCCGGAACTACCAACGACGTCGACGGATCCTCCACGTAAAAAGACAGAAGCCCCAGCACATAGTTGGCCGTGGCATGTAAGCCGATAGATGTAATAGGTGGCATTTTTATGTTGTGCTGTGTGAGCGTGACTTGTCGTTAATTAGATAATGTCAGATGACAAGCGCAAACCTTGCTTCACAAAAATCAACCTTATTCATAAGGACGATGGACTAAATTTAAGCAGATCACTTGACATTCTTCACCGGTTGCCGTCATACGAATCCGTCATAATCTATTTAATACACGTAGAATACTCCACGACCTCACGATTTTGGAATCAGAAGGGAATTACTAACATTAATTTTGTTTCCTATTTTCAATAGGTTGGTGTGTATGCTTCAACGATTGGTCCATATCCATTCTGTGGAGGAACCCTCATTTCGCCCACATGGGTTTTGACCGCTGCTCACTGCATCGTTGGAGCTCTTCGATGTAAAGATATTCCACTCAATCGGTCATTTTCGTTCCACGAGTTCGTCGAGGATGATATGGTTGTTCGTATAGCAGACCACAATCGCACACTGCGCGGGGGTCCAGCATACAACGTTCTAGTAAAACACATCATCATGCATCCGAAATATGAAATAGACGAATTGACAAAGGGCTTCGACTTTGCCCTACTGAAGTTAAAACGAAAGATCAAACGATGTATGTTCTATCACTTTTTGTAGTTTCTGTTAAAGTATCTGTTTTATGTCGTGTTGAGTAATTTGATTTAGGCAAACTCTATGCCCTTCCACCGCAAGTTTATTGTCTGATATCAAAAGCTGCACGTTAAGCATTCTTCCAATATGTATAGCTTACACTGTCATACACAGGTAATGAAAAAGCATGGAAGCATTTAACGAAATTAAACTTGCAGCAAGGATGGCACAAATATCGGCAACGATTGCAGAACCTCCAAAATATGCCCGGCACGTGTGGGCATGAAACACCCTAAGCTGTAGTCGTCACGATTAATAAGTGTTTGTGAAAACGGAAAGGCAAGCGAATAAAATTATTTTCCAAATCCCACATCACCTTCTTATTGAATATGCATTAAGTAAGTATTGAAGCTGTCTCAGTTATTTAAGAGACCTCATGCATGTTGTATCAAACCTTGTAATGGAACTTTTATATTACCATAGCACGTTTGGCGGAATTCGCATGCCTAGCGGAATCCGGATTGGAAATCGAGGTTGGAAAGTTCTGCTACTTTGCCGGATGGGGACTGATTCCAAACCCACCACACAGACCGTATCCTAATCAACCGGAAGTGCTGATGGAAGTACGAGGGCCAATAGCGAAAATGTCTCATTGCAAGAAAAGACATCCGTTGGCCGATAAAAGAAAGCATGTTTGCATTGACGGCAAATATGGGGTAAGATTTAACTTTACAGCGCACATAGATTAAATGTATTAAACCTAATAATTTGCTATTCTTGACATTCAGGCTGCCTGTACGGGCGACAGCGGAGGAGGACTGCACTGTTTAACAGGAGATGGCAAGTGGGTTGTCTACGGCGTAGCTTCCTACACCGGCAAAAACTGCTCTGGGGAATTCACAGTTTTCGCTCTGACTCCACCCGTGCTCGACTGGATCAAACAGAATGTCATCGCGCACAATTAAATAACATTTAGTTGAGTACAAAATTGTACTCTGCAGAATGTTTTTTTCGAAATAAAGATGTCAAATTCATTTTTTCTACTGTGTCATATGAAAGTATATACATAGCACAGAATGACATTACCGACAGATCCGAGGAAGACCGCAACGACCATTTCTGGCTAACTTGTTGTTGTCGCTCTCAGAGTTGAGGCAGCTGTGCACAGCAGTCAAAATTTGAACATTCCTGTCAGTAAGTAATTACGGCGGGTTGACATCACGTTCTGATTAGCTGTTACCTCTCCCATTTTCCTTTAAGTTTGTTGTACACTGCATCTTTTTTGATGCGCCGATTAATGCACGGGTTTTGAGATGTATGACCTCTAAAAATGCTCGGCCTTTTAGATAAACAGACAGATATAATGCAAGTCATGTCCCAGCCAAATGTTTGTCTGGTTTCTAGCATGTGCATGACAGCATGGGAAAAGTGGTTTCATCTTTTTGCTGCAAACGGATGTTCACGTATGCGTGTGATAGCAGAATATCTAGCCTAACAACAGCAAATTACATTGCAGCTGTCAAATGGCATCTTACAGAGGGCATCTTTTCTATCTAAATAACCAAACCTATATTAAAGTTGTACAATCTGCTTGCAAAGTACAGTCGTAGGTTTATAAGCTATGTATATTCGGGGATTCCTTAGGTGCTTTAACCTAGGTCGAACACGTTCTCGCTTTAAGAAAATGTTCGCCAGTTTTTTTTTATTTAAGCGCTGGGACGGATCCTTGTCTACACCAAACATGCTGCACTGAGCAAAAGCATACTATTCCGAGGAAGAAGGCTAGAGCAAAATACTAAATTATCTGTTTGAATTATTCCCCGAAATGGTTGTCCTAGAGGTTTCATACGTCGATGCATTAGAAACAAGCAAGTGGGCGCCAAACAAAATGATTGGCGAGTCCTCTTTACATTAAAATGTGTCTGAATTAGTTAAAACACATCTGAGAAAACATCAAATACCAGTGATTCACAGCCCGTCGACCATGCTACACAGTCAGCTTGTGCAGCCTAACGATAGTGTTGGTTATCAACAAGATCTCATACCAAGTTCGCGATGCTGTATATTGTAGTCAAACTGAAAAGTCTGCCTCCACACGCATCAACGACAATCAGTTAGCTGTTAAGGGGCGATGTCATCTGCCTCGGATGGACATGCAGACACTAAACACCGAGCATGCTTTTGCATGGGACAAGACTCACACCATCGATGTCCGCCCTACTAAACATGCCGAGGATTTCGTGAAGCCATGCAATCAGCCGGGTCATGCATCAGCCGGCATTCTGAGTTGGGCAACAGGGGCAAAAATCTCAGGAGAGAATTGACATGGGAGTCGGAAAGCCGACATCGAAAGATTACCAATGAAGTTCTTACTTGTTCCAAAGGACCTACTGTCCTCAAAAATGCATACATAAAAAATGCTTATCTCAATAAATAAAATTTTGAGGAGCGAGTTCTTTGGGGAAGTTGGAAAACTTCTTTATATGCTGTCGCGTAATTCAACAAGTCAGCAGAGCAAAACGCTTCTTCCATAGGAATTTTAATAAGTTATCTTAGAGTCCATACGGGTCCGTAATGTCAAATGTGCTTATAGCATCCGAAAATGTGGTTTCGGCGCTGGTACGCGATTGTGACACTTTTCTAACGTTTAACGTGCAGCTAAAAATTGGTGCGGGGTTCACCGGTATTTCCAAGCGGATTTTTTGACTCCGATATAAATTCAGTTAAGTGAGTGGGACACGGATGAAGATCTTGCTTGTATATTTGTTGCCTAAGGTGTTTCATTGGCTGTTGCCGTTTTCGTATGTGGTTGCATAGAGTATCTGGCCTCTATCGTGAAATGATAGCTAAAATATAAAGGATTACCTAGGTGATGTTTTGGTACTGGCCACCGTTTCGCAAACTTTCGAGGTATATCATTCATGACGAGATGCAAGCTTATGAGTGTGCGATTTTTGCTTATTTGCAGAAATGCTTTTCGGAAAAATGACTAATTTAGTAGTACACATCTTTCACATGGATGTTCAACATCCTGCAAAATAAGCTATATTTTGGAGAAAGCGTGTACAAAAGTATTTAGAAGAAAAGAATATTTTCCGATGCAAAAACATTTACGGCTCCCAAATAATTCTAACCTCAAGCCGCAGTTACATTTGAGTCTAGGGTTTTAATCTGCATGCTATGCACTATAATTTTAAAGAAACCCATTCACTTTACTACGCCATTGGTAAGCCGTCATAAACGGCTCGCAAAATGTTACAATGGATGTGGTCATTCTGCATACCCTGAAAGTAGCATTTAGGATCCTACAGATACGATGACGTATGAATGGACATCCCATAGTCTTAAAAAATCTCATGATTACAAATTAGACAAAAACTGGAAGATATCCCTTCTTTAAATATAAAATGCAAAGTAGTCTAATGTCCTAACGAATGGGTAGAATGAATGTCATTTTCTTATTTATTTTACAGTATAGATTTTGCAAGACCATCGAAAATCAGTGGCAAAATCTTGTGCTACATTCGAGGCCAATTTTGGCCAGATGACATTTTGTAGACTGCCGGAAATGAAGTTCATTCAAAAGCCAACATCCTGTCGCGTTTGAAATATCTCGGAGATAGGCCGCAAGACGGAAGTATGACCGTACCCAAGTTATGCATTTTAATCCAAAAAAACACATTTCAGAAGTTCAGATAATAATGCTTGAGATAGACCAACTACTCTAGGGGGAATTCGGTAACATCTTCGGCCTGTCGGAGCATTGGACCTTGTATTCACAACTCCTGCAAAATTGACAAATGCTCGTCGGACGACACTTCGTGGCGGACGAGGATCTCAATGTCCTCCGCTGTCTCCGTCTGACTAAGGATTGATTCCACTGCTGCAATCATGTAAACAGGTTTGGTGTCAGCAGTATTAAATAAAGCTTCGTGTCGTAAAACCTGCATCAGATACTACGTCAGCTTCTTTGACGACAGGTTGTGCACCAGTTTGCCGTTTCTGGACGACGTTGGAGTGGGTGACTTTCTCCAGTGCTGCGTCGCGTATCACTCTCTGTTTGAGGGCTTGTTCAGTCATCCTCTGTAGGAGCAGATTTGTACCGATCCCGCCCAGGAACTCACAGCACCCGGTCTTTTCTTGGCAAATCCTTTGACGGTACTTGTGAAGTCTCGCATGGCAATCTTGGAGGAGCACTCGGACATCCTACTGCCACGATCCGCCGATAAAGCGTTCATACACAACTGCGTTTGTGACTGATTGGGTAGTTGCTGCTGAAGTTCAGTACTTGCATCTTATTTGTCGCTTTCCTGAACATTTTGGTTTTTAGGCTACCACAATTTTTGCTGGAGACAAGGATATCATGACAGGCCAGCTGGTTGTTTTTCTATTCTTCCATCACAAATTGGATGTCCGAGAAGATGACGTTAAGACGTTCACTGAATTTCAGCACCCGATCCCGTTCTATGTCGACGAAGTTATCATCCACATATCGGGCCCAGAAATTCGGTCTGTGGTGTTGGAAGACCAGGGACTCTAACCGTTGTAGGACCGTCTTTTCTCAGCGATCGTGTCTTTATCTTGAAGACTATTTCCTGGGATTTGTCTCTTCGTTTTTATTGAGATGACCAGGTTTTTTACCAATAACCACAACAACAATAGGGGGCGGCAGGGTTCTCCGTGTGTGCGACGTCTGGCGGCAACCGGGTCTGCCACTGAACCCCAAAATTTTCACATTTATTATGACACGCAAATCCGATAAACCCTGCCTGTGTCTGATATGGCCTCCATCCAGCGTATCTACAACTTGGTCCATTTCGGTCGGGGGTACACACATACCTACATACAAGGTCTACCGTATTCTCTACAGCAGGGTTAGAAGAGGGACAGTGACCTGCGCGTTACATTCTTTACAATGATGGTAGAATGACGCACAATCCACTACATTCGCTCATCCTCTTCAGCCTGGGTCTGGCGTCATGACAAAATCCCAAAGGCCGTAGGTAGAGAAGGACGCAGTTGATGGGCACCTCGGAATTCTGCACCATAGCGCTTGCCAGCACATCGCACTGAACCTCACATCATAGGGGTGCCGCTGAGGCCATATTAAGGTGTCATTGCAAATCCGACATGAAAACGACCTACTCTCCTAATTCCTCCTCACCTGGAGAAGGTCCACATCTTACTTCTTACTTCTGATTGTAAAACATAAGTCCATCATCTTTGATTTTTTAGCATAGTACTGGACACCAAAGATAAATACCAAGCGATAACTCTACCAGAACATTACTTTCTAAATGCGAATTACTTGTGGCTCAGTTGATTGCATACGGGTCAGGCAGCACTGCCTTCACGACCTCTTTACGCATTTGCTCTCTTTGCGCAAGAGCACCTGCTGCAAAGGCTGGAAACTCGGATTATTTTTGTTCGTTTTCTGAAAAACGCCACGTGTGAAGGTTGTTGCTTAACCTTCTGCTTTGGAGAGCATAGCAACGCCTATCCTCCAGTGGGACGACAGACGTAGGAGCTAGACCGCTTCAGACACTTCCTGGCAATGACCTCGCACAGCTTTTTTTCTGTGCCACATTTTTGCCTTCTAATTCGACGCCAACGCAGACGAAAAGACATTCAAACTCATGCAAAGCTGCACAGGACTTTTCTGATAGGCGGAGTCTGACTCGCAGCTAGTCCTCTAAAATTTTCCAAATCTTTGATAAGAAGCATCTTGCGGAAAACTACCCACACGCCCCCGTCTAACCTGAGACGTGGGCTGCCTGCAAACCAGCATAATTTTAGGTGCAATAGAATGGATCTGCGCATAAATGCATTTATCGTTACCGCCTAGAACCGACACTAACGGCAGAGTCCTTCCTGTATAAACGATATCGAGTTCAAACGTTCATTTTTCGGCTGCAGGTTGAACCGCTATGTACACAGTATTTAAGAAAAGAGAGAGGTGTACTTT